GAAACTACGCGATGCAGCTGCACGAATGAAACTACGCGATGCAGCGCACGTATCAAACTACGCGATGCAGCGCACGTATCAAACTACGCGATGCAGCTGCACGTATCAAACTACGCGATGCAGCTGCACGAATGAAACTACGCGATGCAGCTGCTCGAATGAAACTACGCGATGCAGCGCACGAATGAAACTACGCGATGCAGCTGCACGAATTAAACTACGCGATGCAGCTGCACGGATGAAACTACGCGATGCAGCGCACGAATGAAACTACGTGATGCAACAGTGCACAGTGCACATCATACAGTGCAGTGCATGCAGTGTTCCATATACTCATGGAGAACAGAGCTTTAGTTTGGTATACAGCCTCATTTATACTGGATTTTGAGGCAAATATCAGCATTCGAGATACTACAGAATTTGATCGGTATCGGTAATTTTTTAGTTTTTTCAACATAAGCACATATTTACACAGTAAACATTGCTGTCTTCAATAATGGTGGACAAACAAATGGAGACATATCTTTGGTATTTTTGGACCGGACCGCAATTAACCTATCCGCTGACATAGATACATGCTGACATATTCATTGAAACTGCTGTGTGCTATGTTCCTTCTTTTGTTTCTCAGATTGTGGTCGCTAAATCATCAGTATTAATATATATCAACGGCTCAATAATTACCGGTGCAGGTGCTCAGATTTCTGATGTGCACAACTGTGACCGTACAAACCCACAGCTCCCAGTCATGGTCACTGATAGAAGGTGATTTATGGATTATTTGAAGCGAGTTGAAACTTAATCTTAATGTTCGCTGCATCAAAGTCTGGAAGAATAAGAGGATTCGTGTCTTGTTTTGAAGGGAATTGTGGTGAAATGTCTCTGGGTATTATAAAGAATTCTAGTTCTGTATTCAGGGCTTTGATTCTTCAGTAGAAGGGGGGCAATTTTGTGTGAGGGTCAGCAGAGATGACCCCCGAAGAGAGGGCCTTCAGTGCCGGGAAGGCCTGTTTTTGGGCCCACATAATTAAGACCATCCCCTGTTGAAAAGCAACAAATAGCCGTTCTCATCTCTTGTCCTTGGCCAGCTTCAACTCTGTGAAAAGAGTTCTTCCATACCTAGTTTAGGTCCTGGTGTGAGGATTTGCAAATGTGCATTCTTGTACATTTAGGGGGCCCCTTTTTCTCTCAATTCCCTCTAGATCTCTGGCGAATTTCAAGAAAATGAGTCCACATACGGTTCAGATTAAATTGTGTTGTGTTGCCTCTTTCTTTTCCCCCTCCTCCCTTCCCATCGGATGTTTTCATAACTAAACCAAATGTGTGCTTGGAGTCAGCCAAGAGCAGTCAGGAGAGAGAGAGAGAGAGAATCCCTGAAGCAAAATGTTAAAGTCACATCGTTGAATGAAGTTTCCGCTGCCCTCCGGGCGTCCAGGCTGGACTCCTCGCTCTGCGGCTTATCAACCCTTATTTCCCCTCCGGTCGGACTCTTTCTCCGCACGGCCTTTTCATTACCGCTGGAAAAGTGCTACGTCCACTCTACAAAGTTTCACATGATTCTCGGTGAAACATTTATTAAAACATTTGTCAGCTTCATTCTTTCGGTCCACAGGGCTCGTGTGCAGCCGCACTCTTGAGTGGACCCTTTAAACTAGCCGTCACACTGCTATGAATTATTGTCTACCTTGAGGTGCTGAGTTGCGGATTGAAATCTAGAAAGAAAACATTTGCAGAAATGTGGAGTCTGCAAGACCTCCAAATGTATTATGGAGAAAAGCCAAAAAGGTTTTTACTCTAATAAAGCATCATATATCAACCCTGCGGAAGATCAATGCTTAACCCTTTTCTTATTGAGTTGGATGTAGATAGTTACCATTTTTACTTTTGTAAATATATATATATATATATATATATATATATGATTCCCTTTACCGGACCCTAAAACATGCAGTTCACATCACACTTTAGTTGAGATGTCTCAATGTAAAGAATGAGTATTAATGTATAAAAGCTTAATAATGCATGCTGAAGGTTCGTGGTTCTTCTTCACCATCGGCACACAACCGTCTCTCAGGTTTCCTCCCCGTGTCCCATCATCCTCTCTGCCCTGAAGGGGGCCGAGGCCCTCCACCTTCACAGGGCAGGCAGCTGACAGTTTGGGGTTAGTGCATATGGTGTTGTGGCTGGTGCTCCTCATCTCCCTCCTCGCCCCAGTTTCCTTCCACATCCTGTCTTGTCTTGGACCAGATGTTTTTTTTCGTGCGGTGGAAGCGGCGCCGGTCCGAAGCTTTAACGCAGACGAGGAGCTGAAGCGGCGGCCAGGTGGAATGATGGGATGTTTAGACCTCTGGGGGGTGGGGTGGACGGGGGGGGGGGGGGCAGAGAGAGCTAGAAAAGAGACATCACACAGCAGGCGGCTGGGACTGGGGAACACATTGACCTCGGTTTGGCGCGCTCACGGAAGACAAACCTGCTCGCATTAATTGTGTTTCTCCTCTTCTTTCTTCTTCTCTCCTCTGTCTGTCCGTCTCTCGCCTAGTCAGACGGGGTCCTGGAAAATATAAACAGGATGCAGTCTTGTCTGATCGTAAATCCCCTCTCGTCTGCTCCCTGGCCCCCAGCCCTGGACCACGTCCGTTCCCCTCCCCCCCTCCCGCTTTTCGCTCAGAAGAGGAAGCCAAACGTTTTCTGTGTGTGCGTCTGTGTGACGCGTGCACATGTGCACCGGGTATGGTTGTGTGTCTAATACGCTGCTACCCAACACTGGGGTTTGGAGACGTGGTTGTGGGCTGGCTTTGTAACTACTAATCATCGTCCACATTTAGCGTGCGACTCACTCGGAGATGACCTGTGCTCCCACCTGTAGGGGTTAAAATCCACACAGCTGGATGCAAGCTGATGCACACATGGCATTTGCTGCCTCTACTTTTCTCACACATCCTCCTACTTAGCGAGGATCGCATGCAATATTGTGACCACCGGGTGCAGTTTTTCTTGTAATGCAAGTTGGGAGGAAATTACAAGCAGAAAAAATGACCTAAAAGATTTCCCTGTGCACTTGGAAAGTTTGCGTAATGTTGCAGGCTTTTGATTTTGAAATTTTTAGGAATGTCACACACTCTTCACAACAAAACTCGAATCTGAATAACATTCTATGCGGATGATGAGCTGCGGAAAAAACAAGGCCCTTCATCAATCTTCATTTCCTCTCTGACACAGATAACGACTCAAGTGGTTGTTGAAACAGAAGTCATGTGACGGCGAGGTCATTGGTTTAGATCTGCTGACTGACAAAGAGTGGAGGGAGGAAAGGAAGTCCCTGCAGCAGCGCTTACATAGCTTCCTTTGAGCAAGGCACTCGATCGCAACTGCTTTGGGTCCAACAATAGAAGACCAAGAAGCTTTTCTCCAGTGACAGATGTTGAGCTGTTGCTCAATGAAGTCTCTAAATGATGTCCTCAGTGTTCATCAACAGCGGTTTGGATATGGCCATGATCTAATTACAACTTGATCTCTGAGAAATTCTTTGTTTTCGTTATTTTCACTTCCTCACATTGGCATGCTGGATGGCTTTGGATACAAAAATACCTCTGAGCCTCATGCTTAGTTCCCATTACACGACTTTGGTCCTGATTTTCCACCCACCGACAGGTTTCAGAGCTCCCTGACAAAAAGCCCCGGATCGGAGGCAAACCGCTGTTTGTCGCTTGCAAATAGGCGACTGAGCACAATGTGTGAACTGTTCAAAGACGTTCCTAAATATCTAGGCCTGCAGAGGAGTCTGTCGGGAAACTACGGCCAATGAGAGCACAAGAAGAGGTTGAGGGGAAACCTGGCGGAGAGGCATGACTGTGCGTTATACCGTGTCACTTCTCTTGCGTGTCAAAGCGTGGCTCTGAGACCAGACATACCTGCGTGACCTCCTGTCATGTTGTGTGAACTGGGCTTTACCACGATTGCTATGGAGAAGAACCTAGATATCCAGCATTTACCCAGAATCCAACATCATTTTAAGCTTGGTGATTGGACGTTTTGTTGTTGACTTATCTTCGTACTTTTGTATTTTCTATTTTTATCAAAGAGCCAAATATTCTGGCGCAGCTGCTCAGGTTTTGTGCGTATGATTCAATCGGGAGAGTCTCATGTCCATCAAAGCCTTGGAAGTGCTCCAACTGCCAGTCACCTCGACATTATCGACGCAGAACATGAATAGGACTTTTACTTTTTAAAGCCTGGGTGCCTGAAATAAACTGCTTCATTGGCACAATGCAGTAAGAGCGTGCGTGTTTAATTGCCCTTCCTGTGAATAAATACAATCTTTTTTGTGACTTGTGCTTTAGAAATATGTGTTGTGTGTCTGTACTCACTCATCACTTCGGCATTTTGCAGAGCCGCGCTGTGCCCAGGTCTTTTCTCCTTCAATCTGCTGCGTCCTCTTTCGGAGGCCAAACAAAGGCTCATTCTTGATATTGACGCATCCGTGTTTGTTTTGCTGACGTCGTTTTTTTTGTTCGGATGCCGAGGGTATTGAAACCTCTAAGCGCTTCAATTACGCTTCCCTTCCCTTCGGCCTACTCTCTTTTTCTCCCCAATAATGCAGGACCAATTATCTTCGCGGCCAAATGGGGAATTAGTGCTCATTTTGAGATTTACATTCGCGAGGCGTGTATCATCACAGCGTGTACGAGCCTGAATGTTTTGAGTAAAACGTTGGACTGGTTTCTTGTGGGTTTGGAATGAAAACCCTAAAGCCACAACAACACGAGCATTGCTTCTTTAGGCAAACAAACAGCTTCGTGTCCCTTCTTTTGCCTCAACTTACACGCTTTTATTTCCTAAATGATTCGCCCCTTTCTGCTGTAATATGTGGACCTGAATTTATATAAGACACAACTGAAACTTCTCTTTTTACAAACTTGGTTGAGACTCTTTCACATCTCTTTAAGCCATGCCATTGTTATCTTGTGTCTAGCTGAACCTCGTGGACCCTCTCTCTACAGGTTTGCATGCACTGAAGCGAACGCTGGGAGCATCCCACCGACCGTCAGACCAGCAGCTGACTGGCACGGTGACCGTCACTCCGCAGGACCTCCAGTGGGCCATGTCTGTAGTGAAGCCGAGCGCCATGAGGGAGGTCGCTATCGACGTCCCCAAGGTACTGTAACCTCTCTCGATCACCTCTCTGTTTCTCTCATCCGCTCATGAACACACCATCTCTTTCTGTTTTTAGACCAGTTGGAAAGTCAGCAACATGGCTTTGTTTTTTAAACTCAAGAATCAATACAAAAATGACTTTCCTTTATCCTAATATTGATACTAATGGAACTCGGCTCTTCCGACGCGAGTTCTTCGGCTGGTTAATTTGACCAATCGGCAAACTCTGCCCCAATAGTTCAAGAGTACTACCTCCGGATCAGGAACTTCATGTAGTCCCTGGTTCCACTGGTGGAAACACAGGAAAGGTTCCTGAAATGGTTCCTGGTCTTCTGGAACAGTTCCTGTCGTGAAACAACAGTGTGGAAATGAAGGGCTGTCTGCAGTTAGGCCTGACACACGTGATTCTTAAATCTTGCCAAAATGTTTCTGTGTTTAGTGTTTAGTTTGCCAAGAGGGGTGAAAGAAATGCAGCTGGTCAGAAGTAATTCAAGTTTATTAGCACCTTTCTAGAGCAGACATCACAAAGTGCATCACAGTAAAAGACAAATGAAACGGACACAATAGGACTATATATGTACAGTTCAAATGATTAAACAGGTGGGTCTGGAGCTGCTTTTTAAAGGTGTACACACATCTTAAATCCAATGCGACACAGTTCTAATGTTTAGGCTTCAGTCCTAAACTTTCCGCCGACATGCAGCAAAGGGCCATGGGTCGGATTTGAACCCGTAGCCGCTGTGTCTACTCGGTGTTACATGTCAAATACTGAGGGAAGAATCATGCAAAGAAAACAATAATCATTTAGGGGCCTTCCTGTTTAGTTTATGACATCATCCTTAATGACACAATCTGTGCTGGATGCTTTGTTTGGTGATCAGCATTAGTTGCGTCTCAGTTGCATTGCACCTTGCGATGGCACTGTGAGGAAGCAGACCGGTTTACATCACTCAGTCTTTGCTTCATTTAAGGTTTAAACCCAAACGGCGTCAGCACCTATTGCCACGAGAAAAACAACAACAACTAAAGGCTCATCAACAGCGGCCCGTTTACCCTCTAATGCACGTTCACAAAATCCCCTAACTGCTCCGTGGACCGCGGGCCACTGAATGACCAGCACTTAAAAGATGGGATCAGAGCGAGGAAGAGTGGAAATGACCCTGTGGCCATGTTACCCTCCACTGCAATGAAGATGAATCGCTTTGCTCCAAGCGGATGAAGAGAGGGAGAGAGAAAGAGGGAGGGAGGGAGGGATGAGAGGACAGTGGTGAGACTCCAGGATGTTTTGGAGTTTGCATGTGCAAGACATAACGAACAGGAAGAGGGCTAACATCATCCTCCACCGGTAATTGAAAGCAGATCGGGTCGCTGACGGTTCCTGCCAGCGACCCCCCCCAAATAAAAAGAGAGAGGAGAAGAAGAAGAAGAAATGTCCTTCCTATCCCTTCACCCGCCTCCCCTCTTCCCTCTGCAACACTCTGGACTGAGCTCACCCAGAGACGTTCAGGCCTTGCGGCCGGTTCCTGGAAACCGGAGAGTTTGGAGGTTTTTTTTCTTCTTCTTCTCCTTTTCTATCCCCGGAGTGCAGCTCAGCTGAAAGGCCAGCCGCAGAGCCCCGGACTTGATTATATCCACATGAGTGCAAACATTTGTTTCTAATCCATTTTATATAAGAAACTTCCAGTGGTGCCGGATGAATACACGCCTCGGAAACCCTCTCGGATCACGTATCTAGAGGGTTGAGCGTTGCAGATTACGCCTCTCGGTTTATGTTCTATTTACTTGTGTATGAATTGAAAGTTCATCCTTAATCCTTTGTTTGTTTTGTGACAAGACGCCCCATCTTTTCCTTTTTAAATAATCATCTTTCACTGTGCAGTCTGGCTTTAATATTTTCATTTGGCAGCTGTGTAACAAGCCCATTTATTCCTCCTTTTAAAATGTACTCCTCGTCTCCCTTGATTTTTCTTCTTTTTTTTTTGTCTGAGAAGTCCCCCGCACCCTCCTTTCAACCCCATCAAAGGACCAGAGCCTGAGAGGCCCCTTGTAAAGTTCAGAAAGCAACAGTAAAAGATAATAACTGGGTCTCGTACTGAAAGAAAGGGAGAGAAGAAGGTGGGGGGGGAACGCAGCACAGCAAGGTGTGAGTCAAAGCATTGCCTTCTAATCCCACTGACGCTTCATTCGTGACAAAAAGCACCTTGCAATTAATGTTACTTTATATTGTTGTTTCTTACAATGACTCCTTAAAGTCTGCAGAGACTTAGCCAAACAAAAGAAAGCAACAAAACAGAGAGGATTAGACTTTACAGTGTTGTTCTGCACATCTGCTTCCTTTGTGGGACGCGGTGATGATAGGCAGGTCTCAGGATGTTGTCCGTAAACTCGGAGGGAAGAGTCGTTTAAAACCCCAAAACCACTAAATCTGGTTCAGATCGCAGGTCATTGCGAGCATTTGTTTTGGATTTCAGTTCTCTAGGCTTTAAACGATTGTCCACCACATGAAGACACATGTAATATTTGGTAAGCGTTTGATAAGTGTTTACAGAAGTGAGACATGTGGCCTCGTTACCTCCAGGAAGTACATCATCAGTTATCTTACTGTTTTAGCTCATTGTCTACAGACACACCTACGAAAAATGCATTCAACTTCTGAGACTTCAATGTACCTCACTGAACAGCAACCTTTAATTTAAAGATGTTGTGGCTTTTTGCCTTTATTCTGTGAGAGAGAGAGAGAGAGAGAGAGAGAGAGAGAGAGAGAGAGAGGAAGGACGACATGCACTGACTGCTGAGTCTTTATAGTCGTTACCGAACGGTTTGATGCGGTTCATGTGGCGCCCGCACTACCAGGTGATCTACCAACACGTTCTCACTCCCAACTCGTCAAACAGGACGGCTGGTCAGTGGATCTGAGCTGTATAGGCACCGCTCTGACTTTTAGTTTTGGGCACGTTTCCGTTTCCACTCGTTACATGTAAAGGCTTTTTTTCAAAATAAACTTCACAGGAAGTTAGCTTTAGGAACAAAGCGTTGTTGACGTTAACTTGAAGAAGTCACTTGAAAAAGTGTCAACGTCAACATTTAGTTTCCAACGGGACATGAACTCTGTCCCGTCTTTGGTTGACCCATCCTCCCTCCAGCCCGCTCTGTGTTGACCATCCCGCCGTTTATAGTACGCGTTTGCTCTGACGGTTCATTAATAAGGTGGACGGGTTTACATTGAAGTTAGTTGAAACCCTGGTGCGTTGGTGTCAGACCAGGGAGGTCTGACACCAACCGTCAGTATTTGATGGGACCAGATTAGAGCCACTGCAACAAAGACACTACAGGACAGACATCCTCGTAAGTTGTCCAATGTGCCTCCGATGTGGTCTTTCTGGGCTAACTATCTATCACACAGAACTATCTTGTGAAATCAATGCTGTACTTTAGCTCCTTGAAAGCATCACACGGCCATTGAAGGAACAATCCTCACCAGCAGAATTAGTTTGCTCAGCTGTCACGAAACTATCGATGTTCAAACTTTCCATTACTTTGAGCACTGTAAGTCTAATCAGGATTAACTCCATTGGATGATTGACAACCATGTGATACTGTCGAAAGCTCTGGCAAATCAGCAAGTAATTACATTTCATCCCTTTTGAGCTTGTTTCTACATATCACCATCCATTAAATGCTGTCATTTAGCTGCAGCCACAGAACAGAAGGTGTTTTTGTACCACGTTTCCTCTGCTTTTCTTCACTCCTCGTCCGTCTCCTTACCCGTCTTTCTCCTGCTCACCTGTTTCCTCCATTTCTCTGTAAGCCTGTTCTACTGTTGGATTTCATTTCATTTCTCTCTCGGCCTTTCAAAAATGAGTGTTCTGGTTCACTCGCCTGCTTCCGGCCTATCTCCTTATCTCCTCTTCTCTCTCTCTCTCTCTCCCGTCCTCCCCTTCCCCTGCATCCGTCTTTTACCCTCTTTCTCTCTCTCGCTTGGCGCTGTCCATAAATTGTTCGGTATTTACAGTATGTGGCCAGACGCCAGGTTTCCATTAGGTGCTGTCATTCCCCGGAGACGGCGCCGGTGGCCTGGGATGTGTTACCTCTGGATGGAGAGCAGGAGGAGGGTGAGGGGGGGAGAGAGAGCATGAGAGAGAGCGGTAAACTGCATTATTTAAGGGAGAGAGCGAGAGATGGCGTGATAGTGAGGGTCAAGTGAGAGAAGAAAGAAAGATGGCAGTGCAGTAAAGATGAGACGGATAAGAAAGAGAGGAGATCGGCACTGCATGTATATGCTCTGTTATCTGATCATAGATAACGGTTATAGATTATTGATTAATCTCTTGATTATTTTGCTTATTACTGTACAAATCTAATACGTATATATATATATATATATATATATATATATATATATATATATATATATATTTCCTTTAAACCTTCGAAACTCCACCCCCACAAGCGTCACCCCACACACTCGCCCCTCACTCACTTTTTGTGCGTTTTCGACGAAAAACGGTCCAGCTTCACGCGTCGATTTGCGTTTGTTACATACATGCATCTGTTTCAAAATGAACGTCCTGCCACAGGAAACAACTCGGTTAGGTTCAGGCAACAGAACTACTCGGTTAGGTTCAGCAAAAGATCGTCGTTTTGGGTTAAAATAACTCCAGAAGTGCCGTTACTGAAGTATGCACGTTACGTGACAAATGCATCAACGTCACGCTGGCGGCCTCTTGGGTGAAAGACCCTTTGTTGTTTGTTCAAAATGATTTCAAATAAAGTTCAACAAACATTTGAAGTTAAGTAGCCTCCGTAAATCTAAACACATTGGTTCCGACTTTTCATCATTGGGGTCATTTTTTCAGACGCTCCCTCAAGGACCACCGAAGATATTATACAGCTGTTTTTACATGCGTGGTAGCATTCTACTGTAGCAGTAACAGATAGAGGGGGGGGGGGTCTGATTACCAAGCTACTACAGTGCATGTAATCACATGGTAGGACTTCCTGGATAACCTGGTTTCTTCTGTGCATGTAAATGTACTCAGAGAGAGAGAGCCCAGCGCGGGCAGAAGGAAAAGGAAGTGCAGGAGATAAGATGCACAAGAAACGAAGAGATAGGGGGAAAGAGAGGGGATGAAGGTAGATCAAAAAGACAGAGAGAGAAAGATGGGGGAGAAGGGAGTGAATAATGGATTGGTAATGAAGAAAGAGAGACAGGAAGGATGAGATAGAGGTCTGAGAGGGTTTTGGATGAGGGCTTCTATTCTTATCTGCTTTATCTCCTCCGGTTGTTCACCGCTGGACTCCCTCCCTCCCTCCCTTCCTCCTTCCATCTGTCAGACAGACAGCTGTTGGCTGAGTACGTATGTTGTTGTTCGCTCCGTCCAGAGTTCTCCCTGGATTCAACCCCATCCCTCGGTTCCTACACCTCCTTCCAAATATGCTTTTATACCTCCCCCCCGACCCCGTCTCTCGCCTGGAAGAGCTCGCATCTCTCTGCGATCTGCTCGGGCGGTCAGAAAGTTTAAAAGTCCTCCGAGTGGGTTACATGAGAGCACCGGTGACATCAGCGTGCAATCACAGTGTGTTTGGTCCGTTGCACTTATTGTTGGCGATGTGTTTGTGTTTGAGCTGTTTGATACTTCAGAAGATCCGGAGGGAGTTAGAGCAGCGCATTAGTGCAACGTTGATCATTTATTAGAACTCATTGTTGTCCACTTCCAGTTTAACACACGTGATGCATTTTGTTTGATTGCACGTTATTGTGTGATTGGTTAATACCACTGAACCTGACGCAATCTAATTCATCATTCTGATTGGATTCAAGACGGATTTGCACTCTTCTTCTACTGATACTACTGATCTACTAATACTACGCCTTGTTCTTTTTCTTCTTCCTCTTCTTCTTCTTCTTGTACTTGACCTTCTACATCCTCGTCTACTTATTCCATTACTACTTCTCTTCTTCTTCTCATCCTTCTTCTTCTCCTTCTTCTTCTTCTCCTCCTTCTTATTCTCATCCTTCTTCTCCTTCTTCTTCTCATCCCTCTTCTTCTTCTCATCCTTCTTCTTCTTCTCCTTCTTCTTCTCATCCTTCTTCTCCTCCTCCTTCTTCTTATTCTCATCCTTCTTCTTCTTCTTCTCATCCTTCTCCTTCTTCTCCTTCTTCTTCTCATCCTTCTTCTTCTCCTTCTTCTTCTCATCCTTCTTCTTCTTCTTCTTCTCATCCTTCTTCTTCTCATCCTTCTTCTCCTTCTTCTTCTCATCCTTCTTCTTCTTCTTCTTCTTCTCATCCTTCTTCTCATCCTTCTTCTTCTCCTTCTTCTTCTCATCCTTCTCATCCTTCTTCTCATCCTACTCCTTTTTATCCTTCTCCTTCCTCATTATTATTTGTATCGTTTACTGTTATTCATAAATATTTTTAATGTTTCATGTTTCATCATGGAGAAATGCTTATTTGTTTAGTACACAATGTGTGTACAGCAGCTTTGAACAAACATTCTGGTATTAAATTGAACCTTAAAAACTGAATACCAAACTGTTATGTTGCGTTCATGTACCCCGGATGTTACATTGAATGCTAACGTTCATGAGGTACTGATGTGTCTGTGTATTTGGAAGAAAAAGAGGAGTATCCTGACTTTACGTCGTCTCCTCCTTCCAGGTCCGCTGGTCGGATGTCGGCGGGATGGAGGAGGTGAAGCTGAAACTGAAGCAGGCCGTGGAGTGGCCTCTCAGGCACCCCGAGGCCTTCACCCGCATGGGGATCCAGCCACCTAAAGGAGTCCTGCTGTATGGGCCCCCAGGCTGCTCCAAGACCATGATAGCCAAGGCCCTGGCTAATGAAAGTGGGCTCAACTTCCTGGCTGTCAAAGTGAGTTTCCATTTATCAGTCATAATTCAGTTTTCTATGAATGGTATCTTTTATCTTCTTTGTCTTGTGTGCAGTGTGTGGTAATGCTGGCAAAATGTTGTCTCCCATTTCTTATTCATGAATATGAACAGCACATGTGTTTTTCTTCATATCGTTTTCTGGTTGAGTGATCTGCCAAAACACTCGGTGGAGCTCATCCAAAAACTCACTCGATGCAGGTTTAGTGATAACCAACATGTGAGCAAGTTCTCAGAAGAGATGATCAGCTTGGTGATTAATGATTCGTTGATTTAATCTCGTCTTATAGTTAAGACCACTTTAGCTCAGCCTTTGTATGTTCATTGCCAGTTCCCCAGACTTTTACTAACAATCACCTAACCAAAGGAAAGTTGTTGCAATGAAAGTGATATAAGAAATGTGCTATTTATCATTTTGTATTTCAAAATAGCCGAGAGCTTGAAGTGACGTTACCCCTAACAAACAGTTTCCCTTCATTTCCCCTTCAAGGTTTAAATAAATGAGATTGTGAACATTAAAATAGCAGCAAAGGTTTGGCAAAGACATAGTGGAGTAATGTCTACCTGAGCAGAGAATGAAGTCGCCGTCCCTCTGAATGTGTTGGAATCAGAGCTTCTCTGTTCTTAGCAGGATAGCTAGCAAGCTAATAATTACATTATATGGGACGAAGTCACTCGGCAGATCTAAGAAAGCCGCTTACCAAGCTGAATACGTTACTGATAATACTAAAATAACTATACTGTCAAAAAACTAAATAATAGCCGAGATGAACAGCCTCTTGTCTGGCGTACTTACCTCGTCACTCGAGGTTTTCTCTGTTTCACGACACCTTGCTGAGAACGTGGAGATAAGGGGAGGTGTGACCGACTCACCCATCAGTCTGAGATGTTGGGGCTCTAGTGCGACGATCTGAATCTCATGATAGAACCTTCAAATAGCTTTAAGTCCTCTCATTCCACACTGACCGACACTCTCAGTATAAATACAGCAATATTATTTTATACACTTTATGATCTTTTGGTTATGTAATGAGACGACCGGTGAGTCGTTAGGATTTGCACAAAAACAGGGAACTGGTCCACATATTTCATACACAGGTTAGTGGAGATGTTTCCCTGATGACCTGGAGGCGTGGGTCTCACTGCTCAACTTCCTCTGCACAAAGCTTCCCCGTCTGACCTGTGACCCCTGTGTTTGTCCCCTCTCATTCATCACCCCATCCTCTCTGCCCCCCCCGTCACCCGCACCCCTGCCCATTCAAGCCCGGCCGACAGAGATTGATTGATCAGCTCGTTGAATTTTTGATCAGTAAACACTTCCAGAGCTGTTGCCATGCGAGACAGGAAGCTTCGACAGCATCTCTCAACCAGGGTCGTTTAAGCCGTCTGCACAGACCGGCGTGATGCGCGTGAAGCTGCGTTCTGTTTGAAGATGTTGTGATGTACACCGGGGACAAGATCTTTGTGTCTTGTTGAAACATGTTGAACGTTTTTCTTCTAAACTTCACTCTTATCCAGACCAACTTCGGAATGATCTTCAATTTTAATACAAACTAAATGTGATATTTCGATATTGCAAATAATAAAAAGATGATTTTTTTGGTCGGATAAATGCATTAATGTTTGCATTTTTGTACATTTCACTTAATTTGTGTTTGATACAAAGGTGATTTAAAAAAATATATATATTTGTACTATGGTCTCGTGCAGCAGTTTTGAAAAGGTTAAAAACATCCCGTCCCTGCTGCTTAAAGCCGCTCTTCAGCATCTGCAATAACAGTATCAGGTTTTTCCACTGCAGCGGTTGCTTTGACATAGATACCTTATCCAGATTTAAATGTGGATACTTTAAGGCTCAGCCTGTTTCCTCTGTGTGAAAAAGCCCTATTATCATCTCGTCAATTTCAGTTTCCTCCCACTGCAGCCACTCAAACACACACACACACAGACACACACTCGCAGATGCACGCGAGCGCACAAACGCACACTCGCACGCAGCTCGTATCTCTACGCTGTCAATGGTTTTAAACTCACCGTGTCCAGCCATCGGCTCTGCCTCGGAGAGAGGAACCCGGGATTAATGAGTCAAACTCCGCGCTTACTGCAGGAGACAAAAGGGCTGGGAGTTAAGTGTCGTCTCCTCCACCGGCCCAGAGGTGTTGAAAGGGCGGATTGCAGGGGAGGAAGTTCTTCTTCGGGGCTGAGTGGATGTTTGGAAGAGGGAGGAATGGATGACGGAGAGCAAGAGGGTACAGGAGGTTCAGTTAGTAGTAAAAGTAAGATTAGTGGTGGTAGTCGAAGCAGAGGTTTTTGTGGCAGTATTTGTAGACGATGTCCACACTCTCCTGCAGGCCGTCATCACTTATGTTGTTCAGTATTTCACAAGGGATTGAGAAAGGGTTGAAAAAAAAAACAGGTGTTTTTGAAGTCATCCACAAAACAAAACCTTTTAATTTCACAATTGAGAGAAATAACATGTTTTGATAATTCAGTGTGGACCCAGTTTTAGTAGCAGTGATAAAGCTGCAGCAGTTAAATAACCAGTAATAATAACACAGTAAATCCAGCTGTCCATCTTGCACACATAAACTGAACTACAGGTTTTTGTCCCACGTTTTGCCTGTGAGAGCACGCTTAAGATCACATTTGTATTATATGTGTAGGTATAGTCGCAGTAGTTTAAAGTGCCATACCAATAGCAGTGGTAGTAGCAGTACTAGCAGCACTATTGTACTAGCAGTAGTGATAAACATGGTACTGTAGGGTTCCCACAGTGGGGAATTTCTTCATTTGCCAGCTGAAGCACATATGTTACACACACAGACATAAACCAGTACACGGTGTACAGTGAACATAGAAACAGCACAGTCGGATCACAACACACACTCGCACACGCGCGCTGCCCTTCATGACATTCTCACGCTGTGTTATCGCTGTTTCACTGTGTTCCTCTTTTTAATCTCCACTTGACGCCACCAAGCAGCAGCTGCTCCTCTGGTGTGTCCGAATGTTAGCTCTCAGTTTAAACCGTCTATAAACACGGTGCCACCAGGTGATACTTCACACAACGTAACCGTGATCAGTCACGAGATGATCACGCTTATTTACCGCTGCTTCTAACTCACACCTCAGTCATCGTCAGATTCCTCCTTTCAGGTTTTTTGTATCTTATCTACATTTGATTCCCTCATAGGGACATGTAGCATTGCTGTTGTTGAGGAGTTAATGCAGGTGTATGAACCAATATCCCCGAAACAAACCCACGCTTACTCTCAAACACACACACACACACACACAAATCTCCATACAATCACATCTTCTTTCTTTTTGTTGTTGATAATGTATTGTTGTTGTTATTATACATCATATCTTATGTATATTTATTTTGTGTTCTCTATAATATTGTCATATTTTCATATAATATAGGTGGAGGCTTCAACTATGTCTCTTCCTGCACTGTGATATTATTTATCTGTTAATGTTTGTGTTTTTAAATTCGGCAAAATAAACTAACCTCTAAACTAAATCTGAATAATTCATATATTTCAGTACCTAAACATTTCCAGTAGTCTAATTATAGCCCAAATCTTTACTAATGTTTGAACTTGACTTTGTTTTAGGGTCCAGAATTACTGAGAAAGTATGTTGGAGAGTCTGAAAGAGCCGTGAGAGAGGTAAGTACATTTACCATCCGGTACCTCACCGTCACAATCAAAGTTGTGTGAATACTTTTGCTACGTAAAGTAATGCAAGCTGACATTGTTTCCTGGACCACGTTGACCCATACCAACTATATTCGGTCGCTGATGTAATGAACAGACTACCTGAGATGTAGTTTATGACGAGAGCCGTACTTCCTGTGCATGTGTTTGTGTTTGTGTTGAGTGTTATTCATTGGTCTTGTTTTCCTCTCCTCTATTGTTGCTAACGCTTGCAGGTGTTTAGGAAGGCGAGGGCCGTCGCTCCCTCCATCATCTTCTTCGATGAGATCGACGCCCTCGCCAGTGAAAGAGGAAGGTACGCACTGTCGCTTTAAACGCGTAGAAAGAGGTCTAGAATTAGAAGGAGAGAAGCCAAGAGGCTGCGAGATTAAAACAACTTCCCTTCCTCTCTGAAAGTCCACTGCTGCTGGTCACTGTTGACTGTTTTCAGCTCTGTGGTCGCTCATTGTCCAGCGATGACAAAACGCGCAGTCATCGCAAGTCCCAGCTTGTGTCACAAAGATTCACTTATGAATGGATGGAGCAAAAATAAAAGTCTGCATGACTGCGCTATCAAAGCCAGCCACTCGGTTCCCATGGTGTCCTCTCAGACTTCTTGCAGCTTTTTACGCCACCGGCGAACACAGAACAGTCTTGTCCGGAGGCGCTTTAGTGGGATGGCACTGGGAACATCTGTGGCTTAAAGGAAAGAGGACGGGGGGAGGGGGGGGGGGCGGCAGGGCAGAGGACACAGACCGGAGGCGCACAAACACTTCATTGTGCCCGTCCACGGCAGATGGGGAAGGCTAAATATGCAGCGTGCTTCCTGGTAAACCAGTCGAAGGAGCACAGAGAGGCCAACGGGCCGACACTACAGCTTCTATGTGGGCCCTCGCTCACATGTTTCAGAAACGCTTTACACATTTAGATTTCTTAAAAATTCAAAAAATATCTTCAACAGTAAAACAAAAAAAGTATTGGATATGTAAATGTCTAACTTTTAGGAACTATTCCATCTCATCTTTTCTTATTAGATTCACCAAAGTTCTCAATACGAGTTTTCTCCTCCAGGAAAAAAAGATTTTGTAAATGCCCAAAACTCCCAATATCCAGTATATGGTATGTTCCCAAGCAGAACTGAAACAATTCATTCTATACATTGATTCAATACACTTATAATATACCTATAATTACTATAATACTAATTACTGCAGCTGAGAGTTCTTAATATCTAAAAAGCAAGAAATATATATTTTTTCTCTGTCATCTCGAGTATCTTCTGAATACTAAATATTTAATGTCTTTCTCGTCTTTTAAAAACGTCCATATTGTCAACACATGTCAACTGGCCGACTCTAAAGTGCTCAGTGTTTTGTGTCAGCTCATTATATTTAGTGAAGTAATGAAAAGTTATTGTTTTTTTCAAGCTAGACGGGATGTTTTGTAATTTAACAGGACTACATGTCCTCTTTTCCAGCATCTTTTGTTGTTTTTTTTTCTACCCTTATATCCGAAACCACTTAACTCTTCTAAACAATGGAGCTAGATAAGCTTTGGAATAAACGTTTCTCTCCCGAAGCAAACCTCAAACACAGTTTCTGTACTTTGATGTTCAGCTCAGTCTTGACTCGCTTCCCGTGAACAGTATACGACTCTTATTGCAACTCGTCTTCATCACTCAATTTTTGCAGTTGTACTCTGGTCCTCCGTGCGGCTGCAGCCACGATGGACGTGTGGCTGCTGGACCCGCGCCTCGAGGCCACTCGCCATTTAACAAAAAGAAAAATGCACTTAGCTCTGATCCAGAATCGTTATTTATTGGTCTTCACTTCCTGCCATGTTTAATCAATGAAGTGGCTCACGCACGCCGGCAAGAATTCAAAACTGTTGACACAACCAGACCGGCCTCTCCTGTATTGTGTGTGTGTGTGTGTGTGTGTGTGTGTGTGTGTGTGTGTGTCGGTTTTCTTTCCTCTCTGGAGGCAGGAGATGAGAAGCACCTGTAAATCTGTCAGCCTACCTGCCACGAGTCTAAACTGGTGGAATGAAATGAAGAAGACAGAAGGAAGACAGGACGAGAGGCAAACTAAAGGGGGAGGGGGGATGAAAACAGTGAATGTCAGACGCAGAGACGGACGGATGAAAAAAAGAGCAGAAAAACATTCAGGATTGACTGAATTCAAAATAAACTGACTGCATTACTGACAGAAAACCAGGAAAATATAATAATTATGAGAAATGAAGGATTGTTAGATTTGAAAAGAACAACAAAGAAAAAGAACAATAATCCCCCCCCCCCCCCGACATCCTCTGTCCTTTTGTCTCCCCCTCTATTGCTCACTTTCTCTCACCACTTTTATTCTTTCCCTCTCCCGCCTCACGTTCTCTCTTTCGTGACCCCTGTCTCTCTCCGATTCATCGCTCTCTGTCCTCCTATCCCTAATCCTCCTTCCTCTTCTCCCCCCTCACCCAAACTGTCTCCCCCTCGTCTCTGTCTCTCCCTTCACATCTCAGTGACAGAGGCCCTTTGTGTTCCTCTGCGGCCTTGTCTCCGCTAATGACGTCTGGCACTTCCGCTGGCCCTGTCAACAGAGACTGTGTGTGTGTGTGTGTGTGAAGGCTGGCTGTCTGCACCGCGTTATGGAAAATAACCACCTTGTAACGCGGTGACGAACACATTGATGAGCTTCTTAAAGGATAAAGCTGGAGATATCGTAGATTCTATTTTTCTTACTGTCAACACATCCTACTGAAAGTAATGGCGTTGCAGCCTGATGTATGATCAATGTTCTATCATTACCATGAATACTCACACACACACACTGCAGTTTATGCTTAATGCACCGTCCTGCTGCCCCAAATACTCACTAGAGCATCAAATGTATACTAATCCGCTGCTGAAAATAGTCCCCATCAAATGCACTACATACTCCTGTTCATGCTTGCTGAAAACCACAACTGCCCAGATGTTTTTGGAAATCGTTTGGCCTTTTTATTTTGGCGCACTCATTTGTTTTAGGGAGTGCTGGATCTCTTGTATCATTTATCACAGAGGGAGCGGCCCATCTTTTATTCTCATGCTGCCAATCTCTGGTGAAGAAGGGCATGTCAGTGATTTGAGTTGTCCTCTGCCTCAAGTGAAAGGTGTGCACGACAAGCGTCCGTCTTCCACATCACATGTTCATGGGCACACAATTAGAATCCCAGGAATAAGAATAACAGGTACTACGTAAAGAGGACGATCAGGGCTGTCACTTAAATGCACCGCCACTACTATTGCCATCACAACAGATCTGAAGTTACCTGTTCGCTTGTTAAGTGGGGCGTCTGATGCACACCGGATGATCTACGATGTTTTTGAAATGATTTACTGAAAATCGTATGAAAAATGCAAAATGACTTTAAATATTACATATTGCACACAAAATAGCTCATGCTGATCTTCCGAGTATGGACGCCTGGGTGGGATGAACCCCAGAGCGGAGGCCCTGCGTTTACAAGTCCAAACAAGGTGACATATTTGTGAACTTTGTCTAAAGGAGGGCTGCTTTATTCGAGAGCGATGACGTGGTGTCAGTTGCAGCTCGGTGGGACGTCATTGGCAGGAAGGTTCACTTTCGCTGCCAAAGCCTTTTCTTTCCTTGAAGACGAATTGTGCTAATGAAAGAACCTGCCACCAGAGTGTCCGTGAAACTAGTCAGATGTTCCCTACAAGTATTCAAGAACTGGCGAATATTTGTCATTACGGAATACAGCAAATATCAGTGACGAATGAGTGAAGTTTGAGGCATTTGTTTAACTGGACTCCTGTGAGCAGGACATCGCATTCTGCTAAATATGTGTATCCTCCGTGCACATTCCTTATTTCCACCGTTTTCCCCCCTCATGTCTTTACAGTATGCTTTCCGTCCTCTCACTAATCCATCCATTGTGTATCTGTAATTCATAACGTTGCACCATCAATATGTTCCTTTCCCTCTCCATCATCAATCCTTCCATACAATCGTCCATCCACGCGTCGATCTCCACGTCTGTTTCCCCTTCTCTCTCTCCGTCCTGTCCACTCACCTATCTTGCGTTTCTCACCCCCCCCCTTCAGCTCCTCGGGCTCCGGCGGTGTAGGCGACCGGGTCCTGGCTCAGCTCCTGACAGAGATGGACGGCATCGAGCAGCTCCAGGATGTCACCGTGCTGGCCGCCACCAACCGGCCCGACATGATCGATAAGGTAAACAGACGCCGGCTCGCTGTCTTTATCTCTCCTTCCTCCTCTTTGGTCCCTGATTGATTAGGTTGAGGAGATGTTGTGTGTTTGTCTCCCTTGTCTCCTCCTTTCCCTCCCTCCCTCTGTTCTACATGATTGATAAGGTCAAAGGTGGCCCGCTCCGGTCTGTCTTCCTCGACTCTCTCTTTAGATCCTGTCACCGCATTGTTTTGGTGCGGTTGAGTTTGATGCTAGCGCGTAGGTGCAACTTCTTTGATGTTGCTTTTCAGGCGCAGAAGTTATTTTGGAGCTTATGTTCATTTAGTTTAGTTTGATTGGCGAAGTGGAGCCAAATAACTTTCTGTCCTCTTCCAAGAGATCAAATGGTGGTTCTGAAGAAGAGAAGGGAATACAGATGTGGCTGTTTCCATTTGAGGACAGTGCAATTCATGCTTCCCAGATAATTCATCCTAATGGCTTCAGTGATCCTCTGACTTTTCCTCTACCGCAACCACGAGGTTGACATTTATATTTCTGAGTGACGTGTCTCAGCAACTATTCTAAGGATTGCCATGACATTTGCTACGGACAGTCAAGGCCTGCAAATACCTGTGAAACTAATGAGCCATCAGTCTCAGCTGCACTTTGTGTTAAGTGCTGATTAACAAAAGTTAGAATGCTAACATACTAAACCGATTTGGTTCAGGTTCGCATCAGGATGTTAGCCTTGTCATTGTGAACATGTTAGCATGCTGACCAGGTGACAACCTCCTGTGTCTGAAAAGGGAAGCCAATGCAGAAGTGACTTGAACCTGCATTCTCTCTAGTGTCCACCAGGGGGCGACTCCACTGGTTGTATAGAAGTCTATGAGAAAATGACTCTACTTCTCTCTTGATTTATTACCTCAGTAAACATGAGTTTATGGTCTCAATCTCTAGTTTCAAGTCTTCTTCAATACAGCATGATGTTCATTTAGTACATTATGGTCCATTTAGAGTCAAACAGACCATAAATGTAACTATGCTTTGTTGATTGACAGGTCGCTACCACAGTGTTGTGGGTGGTGTTCGTGTTTTCATTTGACAGCTTTAACCCTTTCACAATGTATTTTCAGCTCATGAAAGTTAATGATAACATTTCGGTCACCTAAAAATGTCTTATTCAGGATTTGTTTGTACTTAGCTCCACCCTCTTGTGTCACCTCTGGCTGCAAAAAAACAAGATGGCGGCGGCCAAAATGCTGAACTCAAGGCTTCAAAACCGTAGTCCACAAACCAATGGGTGACTTCATAGTGACTACTTCCACTTCTTATATACAGTCCATGATTCTGATGTTAGCGTTTAGCTCGAAACACTGCATTTAATGAACATCTCATGTTCAGGTTCTAGGTTGTGAGGATTAATTAAGCTCAAGCTAAGCAACAACTACAGCAGAGTAACAACGTCCCCTCTGATAGTCATTAAAATGCACAACAGGTGGGAGTAAAACATTTATCTCTTCTTTCTTTCTACTCACCCCCCCCTTCAATTTTCTATTTTCTACCCTTTTATCTCCTTCTCTTCCTCTTCCTATCCACAAAAGCTCTCTTTGGTCTCTTATCCACCCATCTCCGTCCTAATGAAATTTCCTGAGTGCTGATCAAAGGAGGAGTCTGTGCCTTGTCAAAAAGGACACAGGAAAGGAGAATGTGCATCTTAAGCTCCTTCTGAGGCAGCCGCCTGTCTCTGTCTTTCTTCCTCTTTGACTTTAAATATACTTTTATATCTCTGATGCTGTTAGGACGCGTTTTATACTGAAATAGCATATCCGTCATTAAAGATAATAATAATAATAATGTGAATAATAATAATAATAATAATAAGCTCCTAAACAGATGAAACAATGGCTTTTTAAAATTAATTTTCCTAACAATTTTACTTAAAAAGCAACTCTGTGAATTCTCATAGTGATCATTGTTGTCCATCATGATGAAAACATTTTACTCATGCATTCTATAATAGAGATTTGGAAAACAAAATCAGCTGTCTTTCGGATGGTTTCTGTTGCACTACAGTTTTTGAGAATGTTTAAAGTCAACATTTATTTGATTAATATACAAAGTTAGGATACCAGCGTTTAAGTCGAGCTTAACCGCTGGTATCAGATCCGTACTCTGTATTGCTGTAACCCAAAGCCCAGGTGTCACCGTCGGTACACAAAGATGGATCTGTGCATCTTTGAGACATCAGATTACTGCAGAAAGCCGACTGTAATCCAGTTCAGTGCATGTAAATGCGCTGACGGAACATCCAATCATTCAACATCATACCACTATGAGATATAATCATCACATTTTTTGAGCTGTTGATGAACTATTTTCAATGACAAAATTTTACTTGAAATTGATGTTTTATATTAAAGTAATTGTCCTTTTGCCTCCAGACATTTTGCCTCTCATTACTCTTTAGCTCTTCCATGCAAACATCATTACACATATTTATATACACAATAATGACGTATTTAAACTAAGGGCAAAAAATGTTGGCACATCTGCAGCTGTTTTATGTAAACTGTTAATTGTTCACTGCAAATCTATAAACACCACCACTATCACTGCTTCTTGGAGAAGTACTCTGCTTACAAATTTTGGGTAACCCCCTCCAAACACTCCACCCCTGCCACCATTTCTAGCCCACTTGTGGAGACTTGATCCATCGCTGCGGTGGGGGAATGACAGCAACTTCCTCCATCTCTGCAACTGGTTGCCATCTCATTTCAAACTTCATTAGCGGCTGAGAAACAGCCTGAGAGTGTGTGTGTGTGTGTGTGTGTGTGTGTGTGTGTGTGTGTGTGTGTG